CATCTCAAAGCCCTTCTTGACCTTTTCTCTTTCTATGCTTTTTTTGCGATATTTGTTGCTCAATCTTTTCACATAGGAAGAAAAATTCTTGTTACTTTTGCGATTTTTGCTAAACTTGCTGACATCTTCTTGTCCTTTTCGCTTTATAAGTGTAGAATTTTCTGAAATTTGTTATTCTTGCTATTTTTGGCATATTTTTTGCTCAATCTTTTCACATAGCAGGAAAAATTCTTGTTACTTTTGCGATTTTCTCAAAATTTTCGGACTTCTCAAAGCCCTTCTTGACCTTTTCTCTTTCTAAGTGTAGTAGTTTGTTAAATTTGTTATTCTTGCTATTTTTGCTACATTTGTTACTCAATCTTTTCACTTAGTAAGGAAAATTCCCATTACTTTTGCGATTTTTGCGAAATTTGCGGACATTGTTTTTGCCATATTTTTACTCAATCTTTTCACATAGCAAGAAAAATTCTTCTTACGTTTGCGACATTTGCTATTTCTTCTATACTTTTCTGATAGCAGTTTTCTTTAAATTTTTTTTGCTAAAATTGCGAAAACAATTTGCTAGCAAATTTTTGCTAACAAGATCGATCCTGGACTTAAGTGATGTAAGTTAAACAATTATGTTCGCAAAGTTGTGTGATATATTTCTGAAAAAGTAATAATAATAATAACGTTTAAATCTTTTGAAGATGGCGTTCATGATTGAAACAGATCTCTCTGCTCTCCATGATAACTTTTTAACGCAGCGAATTTATTCGCAGTTGCCTTTTCCCCTTTCATCCATGTGACTGTATTAAATATCACGATAATATTCTTGTTAGTTTTTCAACCTGCCTCTTTCATTGCTTCCTCTTTCATCGCAGTTTGTCAGGACTTTATCAATGCATCGCTACCAATAATATTGGCAATGGCTCCAAGAATTGCACAGTTGATATGCACTGTAAGCTAAACAATTATATTCGCAGTCTTGTCTGATGTCCTGAAATGTCTGCCCAACTATTGCAATCGAATTTGGAGGCACATGCGACATCTCAAGGATGAAAGAGTAAACTATACTTAAAAGGAAAGCAGAATAAATAAAATCTCGCGCAAATGTTTAATGATCACACAAGAACTTAAAAACCCATAAACAGTATGAAATAAAAACACTGCGGCTTTCCACCTTTATACAGCCAAAAAACTAGCTCAACTGGAGCGAGTTTGGTCGTCAATTTTTTTTCTATTCGCCATGGCGACTGAAAAAGTCGCAGCTCGAAGATCTGGGTAAATTGCTATTTTTGTCAGATTCTCTCTCGAAAAGAAAGTGTTGAATATATTGTTTATAGTTTGTGATATTTTAGGAAAATGACGCAATACGACAACATCCCTTAACCAGTGATAGCAGAATATAGGGCTCCCTTCTGTTGTTTTTCTCAACATCCTGGACAACCTCGTTCCCAGGTCCTCTCTCTAGGAGAGAACCCTGGGAACGAGGTTGCATCCTGGATTTTTTTTATCTCCAGTTCGGCAATTTAATTTGGCCGTGTTTTAGTAAGTTGCTGCCAGTTACACATTTGTTGAACTTACAGTTAATGGGAGATTCTTATAAAAAGGTTCTCAATTGTTGTCCTTCATATCTAATTTTGGAGCTCTTCAAAATGATTCCATTAAAATAACTACTACTTTTGTTGTACGCATTCAAAATGCTTTGAATATCATGAAAAGTAAGCATGATTATTGATTTATTTGATTTTGGCAACTTAGAGAATTCCTAAGTACAAAATCCAAAAAAAAGAGTAACCAAAGCGGAATAAACAAAGTAAGCATTGGTTTCGCAATTCATCTGACCTTGAACCGGATTCACTTAACGAATACAATTATACAGCTAATCATTTAACCAATATACAGTTCATCAATTGAACAACATCGGTCTTAATTGCTGTTAGCAAGTCTTTCATCCATAAGTAATGAAAGGTGAAGAATCCATGACTTGCTAGATGTTTGGCATTTATACTTAATCTGTTTTTATATATATAGATAGATTTTTTTTTTTTTTTGTAGTTCCTCCAGGGATTGTCACTGCTCCATCAGCTAAAGACGTTGTTGAGGGAAAAGGTTTGAAATTTTTCTGCAATGCAACTGCCAATCCACAACCAGACATCCAATGGCTTAAGATTTTTTTTTTTTTTTGTAGTTCCTCCAGAGATTGTCACTGCTCCATCAGATAAAGACGTTGTTGAGGGAAATAGTTTGAACTTGTTCTGCAATGCAACTGGCAATCCACAACCAGACATCCAATGGACTAAGAAAGGAGAAAGTAGTGTTCTATCTACATCCGAGTATCTGGATCGAGCAAACATGAGGAGTGACGAAAATGAAGTAGTTTATAATTGTAAAGTGAGCAATAGTCTTGGATTTGACGAAGCCAAAGCCACAATTACTGTGCTTTGTGAGTATACAGTGAATAACAAGTGTTCAAGAGTGTGCTCAGGTTAAACAAGAATTTAAGTCAAGTACTTAG